TGATGTTGTTCGTGACTTTGCGTGTGTGCTGTGGTCCTTGTTATGATTGAAGGGTGATATCGAGTCAAACCCTGGACCAATGACCAATTATCGGCATTAAAAATTCGGCAGAGGCACTTAAGATTATTTACTTCTGGGGATGCGAAAGCATCACTAGGCACAGATTTAGTCTGCCAGATCTGTGGAGCCGCCGTGCGGTCGGGGAAGCGTGCTCGTCTTGCGCCACGTAGTCGCGGGTTCGACCCCCATCTAGACCGCACATCGCGCGCAAGGGAGGCACTCACTTGGTCGAATGACGTTTTGGCGAATGAAGCCCCGCCCCCTACGTTTGATCGAAGGACACCTTAGCTAATGGCGGCGCTCATTTGAGCGAACGATATATTAACGCATGACCCTCGACGTCAGCCGCGCCTCTTGATTTCTGTTATTCTATCTTTGAACGCGCAGCTCTGAGGCGTCCGTTTTCGGCTTGAGCGGCGTGGCCGTCGCCGTCGCCGTCGCCGTGGCGTAACCAAGCGTTTCGTTATGGGACGTTTCTCATATTGACGTCACACGTGACGTCACGTGTTGCCCGCGCGTTGCATCATGGGGCGTTTCCCATAGTGTTGTCACACGTTACGTCACGTGTGACGTCACGGGAAAGAGGAGGAGGAGAGAGGAGAGGAAGGAGGATAGAAGGAGGAGGGAGGATGAGGAAGGAGGAGGAGGAAGGGGAGGAGGAGAGAGGAAGGAAGGAAGGAAGGAAGAAGAGGGGAGGAGGAGAGGAGGAAGAGGAAGAGGGAGGAGAAGGAGATGAGGAGGGAGGAGGAGGATGGGAGGGGAGATGCCAGTTACCCGTTGTGCACGCAAGTGATATCACCATTCATAAATCACAGGGAGGCACGTATCAAAACGTGGTGTACTCGTTATCCAAGTGGCCATCATCATGGGTACGGGTTTGTGCTGTACCCATCGATCTCTGTGGCACGTCAGGCGATGTTGGCAAATTGTGTGCCGCCAAGATCGACAACGGCTTGCCCGTGGCAGCTCTGTATCTCTCGCCTACAGCATTCATCAAATATTTCGTGCAAGACAAGGAAATTCATACCAGTTATGCAGGAAAACATTCCATCGGCCCCGAGGGACTTGCACTCGCTGTTCTGCTGTGCCGATTTGGAGGATCACGCTCAAGCCTAATGCTAAGAAAATAAAAAAAAAAAACAAAAAAAAAAACGCCAAGCAGTCTTCGACAGAGCCGACAGCAGGTAGGATGACTTCGAGAGTATCACGTGCTTCGTTAAAGTGTTGACCCTAACGCTGTCTCGTTCTTCCGCCTTGGTGCTGTTGCCCTGTTTCTTGGCACCGGCAGAACTTAGACAGAGTGGATCTTCAAGATGTGAGAACTCTATCTCCTTTCTCCGGACAAGCGGTAAGCGAGAATACCCCAATATATATATTTATATCTGTCTCAGATTGCTAGCCCGGTATATCGCAAAATCGAAATACCTCGAGAGAGAACCAGAGGATGAGGGAAGGAGCACGTGAGGAGGAGAAGAGAAGAAGGTACGAATAAGGAGGAGGGGCAAACCCTCCCCCCAGTACACTCCCCCCGTCCTCCTCAAAGAGGTGCGCTCTGATTCGGCATTACAGGGAGTTGTAAACGACTTTCATTTTTTCGCTTCATTCATAGTTTCTCACGCAAACTGTGACAGTACCGTGTGCGTCTGCAACCTGATCGCTTCCGAGTTTTCAAGACAACGGCCTCTACGATTACCGCATGGCTGGACTGTGTTAGACTGCGCGACAGACTTACCATTTCAAAATGGAGGGGGAGGCGTCTAGAAACAATCATATTATAAGATACTGTAGAAAGAGGCAGGTTGAAAGATTGTACTCCTTTATACACATATCGGCCTATCGCAGGTAGTAGTAGTAGTAGTAAATAATAATAATAATAATAATAGTAATAATAATAATAATAATAATAATAATAATGTTTTGATTCACTTCACAAATGCATATAAATAATGCTGGCCTACAAAAGCACTATCCTGCTTGTGCGTAGGCCCAGGCAATCCAGCGAAATACATATCAATGCAGTATGATACAAAAAAAATCGAACGAGTGTGTAATGTGGCCATCAATACCAACATTATTACAGAACAGAGCCCAAATTCGGCACGAAACACAATGAACACAACTATTGAAATCATTCAGAGGCTCAGTACTCAATACACACGCTTTTGGAGCGCTGTCCTTGGGCTATCACCTCAATGCATGTTGCCACCAACGTAACAAAAACATTCAGTTAGGAAACTCACCCTTGAAACTAGGATTGCCTACGCCTACCGAAAACAAACTGGATACGACAACAGCGCCACCCTTTAGCGACGACTCAAAACATAAAAGTTGGTTTATATTGCTACTACTAATCGTCACTGTAAGATGGCGCCATCGGCCTTTTTACGACTCGGCCTGAACCAATACGTGCAGCCGTGCAGTTCCCAAACTGACTACTGCGGGAGAAATGGCGTTGCGATCGCCTTCAGTTCGGTTCTCGAGTACGGAGCGGAGCCACTTTCTGAAAGCAGGTTCTCTGGCAGTTTCCCAACTGGGTTGTTTTGGTAACGTTGGTTGCCACAAGTGATCTTTGTGACAATTGCTGGATCGCGCTTCCCGCTCCACAAGTGAAGCCACCTGATGGCCATCTTGCATGTGGCAAAATCGCGCTTTTGCTAGCGTTGCAGAGTTTGGCGGCAGCGTGCTGAAGACACGTTTTCTACTCGTTCGTCGTCATTCGCCGAACAAGCTATAAAGACTCTGTGTAAGCGTTTGAGACTTCCCGTTGCGAACACGTAAAAACTTTTACGAAAGCGCGGTGCCGCAGGAAAAGGGCACGACTCGTCGAAAGCAAGTATCGTCGGTGTCGCGGCGCGATCAAAGCTTTCTGGTACGCCGAAGCGCTAAGTCTCTGTGTTCGCGCGCTTGGATACCGATCACGATTCGACGCCATGTGGATGTGCTTTGCGAGAGCAATGTGCCTGAGGCCGTGTGTAAAGGCACAAACTCGTTCAAAGCAAGTTTCTTTGGTCTCGCGGCGTGATCAGAGCTTTTTTGGCTCGCCTAAGTGCTGCGTGTCTGTGCCTTTGCAGTAGCATAGTGTCCAGATAGAACCTAAACATCTATGTGATAAACGCAGTTCCCGAAATTTCATCGTATCTCATTAAGCTATCTCCCATGCAAAAAAAAATTAAAGGTACTATTTAGTCCAATTCAGTCAATTTCCTCGTACCAAACCACTTCTTTTTCTTTGTTCAGAACGGTCTCCAAAATCATTTTCATCCAGAGCGCTGCTTGCATCTTTTACTGATGACCTTCAAGCTATACTTGATAGGGGTTCAGAGGTTGACTCGATCTTTATGGATTTTAAGCCTTTTTGTATGTCTCTTTCAATATAATTCGAACGCCTTCATGTCTCAACGTGTTTGGAGAATTATTTTATAAAAAGTATTGCTTTCCGTTTTTTTTTTTCGAAGCTTTGGTGTAACCTATATGACTTGTAAGCTTATTGGACCACCCCAACTGATGTATATAAAAATGGTTCATTGTATGCATCCTGGAATAAAAAACTACATCAATCTTAGCCGTGATGATTATGGAATATTTTGCTTCCATTTACCTGTAAAATTTTCAACTAAACGCAGAAAGTCTAGTTTTTTTAAATGTTCTGAAAACATGCACGCAACAGAGTTTTTAGCTTTAGAAATATATTTAAAGAAACAAATCATCACTTATATATGTGCTTACGTCATTCACGTAGACGACGGAATCACATTTGTGCGGTCATTGCTATAAATGACGAGAGATCAAGTCACGCCTCGTTATTCGGAAGTCAGTTTCATTTCCCCACAATCGCCTACTAGAGTAGGGTCCGATGGGTAGTACTTAGTGCAGCCGCTTGCTCTCCTGCTCGCCTCTGCCTTGTGGTGCCGAGAAAAGGCGTCGGGTTGCGAATCGCCTTGACCTGGATTCCATTCCCGCAGCTTCCCTTGGTAGGTATCACCAAGTAAGTTCAAGCATTATTTTAAGAACAATTTTAAATATAATTAGCTAAGATCTGTATCCATATTTATGTAATGCCTACTGTATACTACGTATACTTTACGTTGAGTTTGCCAGCGTATGAAGACTCTTCTTACAGTTGAGCGCCATGAATTTTGCATATACGAGTGGTGTGTTCAGTTAGTAAGAATTATAGCTCTCTAAAAACTGGAACCTGATTCAGCTAGAGCTCAGGCTTTCTCTGAAGCGTTCATTTTGATGGGGACTTCGTGTAAACCATGGACATATTTAGGAATCGCAAAAGTGCAATAAAATGTGACTACAACATATATATATATATAAAATTTCTACCGCAATCAAGTACAAGCGCGTACCACATAACACAGTTCTTTGGGCAAATATTTGAACTTTGGCCAAACTAAATAAGAAAGCAATGCAATAACTTAGCGTGATATTCTCGTTCTAAGTATGACCGTTTCGGCCCTAAATTGTCAAACAATCGCGAGAGTTTGCCTTTACAGCCAAATTCCACGGCTGTCAACTAATACATTTGGGTCTAACTAAACAAAGAAATGCAAGTATTCGGTTTCATTCCTGTTTTTCTTTTTTTTCCTTTTAACTTTAGATTCAAAATTGTCAAACAGCTGTCAGAATAGGCTTCGCTGGGGGGGTGTTGGCACAATACCTAGCATTTTCGACTTATTTCTGGCACTTTGCCAATGGTGAAATCAACCGAAGATGCTCAAAACGTGCCTTGGCACAAACAATAAGAATATTTCTTGGAGCAAAACCTTACCATGCCTAACTTAAGCTCCCAAAAATGTCAAACTTGTGTCAACTTAGTTTTATTTCTTTTGCGTATTGCTGGGATTATTTTGGTTATCGGGGGTCTTCAAAAATGTTAAACGAGGGTGAAACAAGGTAATCTGGACACTTGCAAAATCTTCATAGGTTTTTTATTAATTGTTTTCTGGGTAAGGGCAATCGTTGATGGAATAGTGGAACACCGGCGATCCGCAGTGCCTTTGGAATTTTGTGAGGCATTTTCGTGGAGGTGTAGAAAATCTCTCTTTTGTCACCATCAGGTTACAGACTATAAAGGAAACAGTCAAAAAGCAGACTAAATTTTTGTGGGCCAACTATTTGCCTTTTTGTTTTATTATTAGTCTGAATAAACAAAATATCAAAGTGATTTTCCTTGCCAGCACTCAAATTTTAAGAGCAGAGAAAAGAACAGCAGAACACTGATGTATTTATGAAAACGATATTACCCAAATACCGAAGCTTGAGGGATATCTGGCGGGAGGGTCATCTGCCCCTCCCCCAAGATATACTAAGCACTTGTATAGCAAAACACCAATCTTGATCTAGGGCCGTTATTTATTTTCTATTTATTTTTGTGAGCATGTCCCAGAAGCACTTGTATTTTCTTTGCTAATTTATAAACCTTTAGTTGCAAGTACACCTTCGCCCTCTGGTGCTTGGTTTTTCACTTCGCTTTCGTCGTTCGAACTATTTTCATCATGTATAGTCTGAATTTGGCTGAATAAAAAAAGGCTGATAATATGTTGAATAATGAATACATATCATTATTTAAAAAAGAAGCTGTGTACATGACAGCTTTTGAACGACAGACGAATCGATTTTGTGTCGATAATGTTACCAGCATTCATCTGACCAAGACGACTGACCTTTTGCACTCGGGACCTTATAACAACAAGTCGTCTTGTGCTAGCACATCATGCGGGGGGAATTCTCCGTCTTATAAAGTCTTTATGTACAATGTTCTTCAAGATTATCCGGAACACGAAAACGGTTTCTTATTCCTTGGAGGGCTACCTTATCTGCTAAACGATTTCTCCATGACTTAGTGCTCAAGGACCAACTTGAGCAGGGGATGCCGCACGCTGGACCGTGGACACGATGGGAATTTTGTCGGCCGATCAATCTATGCTTATCGCCATCTCTTTGCACAAACAGGTATAGGTGACCGTCAAAACACAAACTGAATAGATGATTCTATCATTTACAATAGCGTTTGACGTTTCTACTGCATGAGAATGAATGCGCTGTTCAACTGGACGGCAAACGTGCTCCATTGTCTCCGGTCTAGGGGCGATGTCGGCCTTGAGCGAGGTGCCTCCCCTGCTTGAACTGTTTCATTCATTGTGCGCTGTCACGCTGTAATTCTTAGGATTCCACCAGAATTGTGCTCCCATGGGATAAAAAAAAACGTTCCCGTGTTTCGTATAAGTTTAGTGAGCACTGTATGCAACATTATGAATAATATATTTCAGTGTTTTCAACCACTATTGCATTTTGCATTTCTATAAATATTTTCAAAGGTCGCCTTCTCCGCCACCATTTTTATCCCCTGGGCTGTAGAAGGCGTTCTGAACATGCGCAGTAGCTCTCCTTCACGAAATATAAGACGTCGCGCATGCATCCAGAGCCCAGTGCCTCCGCATTTTTCACCTGTCTGATAAGCGATGCTAAGGTATATATATTTTTTGGCTTTCGGCGGGTTCCTGGAAACTTGGATTCTTTAATTCATTGGATTAAGTACGGTTCATTCATCTGCACAAATTCGTTTATATTTATATATGTATATACAGGGTGTTTCAGAAAACGCAGGCCAAATCGCTCCTGCGAAAACTACTCATCGCAACGAAAAAAGGCTTGTGGCGTTTTGGTCCTGGGTCAGGGGCCCATTTAGGAAAATGATTAAAGTCGGGGATAATTAAGTTGTAATTATTTTTGCGTAATTAACGTTTTAATATTGTGTTTAAGGGCATGGTTCAACTAAGAAAATTGCTCAGCATCATCGAAAAACACTAAATCAAGAAGTTGCAGAACGATAGAAGGCACGCGAAGCATTTTACGGCTTTCTGAAAAACCGCACAAAATCGACGGGATTTTAAGTTTCGGTTCGCTATCAGAGCGCATCTCAGCCCCGGCGGCACCGCGCCCCGTGGAAAGATAGTCCAACCAACCTCTGCTGCGCCATCATTGAACCTCCTGTCGGAACTCGCCGAACAGGCGCTCCTCGCCCAGAGAGACCGCCTCAGCAGCTCGACAGCTGGGCTTTCCATATTGGAAGAGCTTGGCGTGCCACCCAGTCTGGACGTCCGCCCGGCAGACGCGCACTCGCCCTCTCCGTGGGCCGCCCCGGTCACGCTTACCGACGGAAAACCCCTCCCACGAAACGTGGGACCTGGAACGAGCAACTCGGAGCGACGCAAACGCTTTGCCAAAGCGCACACACGTAGCGTCGCTCACAAATCACCGCCTACGCACACCATCATCTACACTGACATGACGGAGACCTTGCTGTCGACTGCCGGCGACGACGGGGAAGGAGAGGACAGAACCCCCAAGCACGTCCAGGCGGTCGCGTGGGTCGACACCACCCATGGCATTCCGAACGCGGCTGCGCTTTCGACCACTGGAGACGTCGACACTACGCAAGCGGAACTCATGGCACTTCTCCGAGCATCCCAGTGGGTTCTTCAAACTTTTGCACTAACAGACGTCCCACACAGGCTCCTACTGTTCACCGACTCGACTCCTGCGTACTAAACTTGCAGACGAGCGAGCGGGAGCCCCTCAATGTACACGGGAATAGTCGGCGAGTTGCTCGCCGCGTCCCTGGAACTTCGAAACAAGCTCAACATCCAAGCTACTATTTCCTGGGTGCCCGCGCATGCGGGCATTGACGGCAATGAGTGGACCCACAGCGAGGCGCGAGCAGCAGTTCGCCAGATGGCATACGCGCCGAACGGATTCCACAACTCAGCCGGCGTTGCGGCCGGCCCGGCCGACCCGTCTGTCGTCAAGGAAAGTGCTATACAGCGAAGGCGGAGAATCCTATGGCACTTTCGTGAGGGGCGGGAGGAACGCCCGGACGAGCAGTTGCGTCCCGTTCCTCCGATGCCGAACACCGAGGAGCACTCAGACCCTCGTCCGCCGCCTCGCGACCAACACTGTCCTATCCCCGGCGCTGCGCCATAAGTTCTTCGGCGACGATCCCGACGAGGGGGCGTGTCGCCGGTGCCGGAGTGCCGCGACGGCTGCCCATGTTGTCTGGGAGTGCGAGCGCCACGCTAGCCTTCGGAAAACAAAACTGGAGGAACTCCCAGACGAGATCCGTCCGGCGACGTATGTCGATTGGATTCTACCCACCAGTCGTGACAAGACGATCGTCTCCCTGCTGTGGACAAAGCTGGCGGAGTTCGTCTACAACGACGACGGCCCCGGTGGACGACTTTGCAGCAGCCGAAGGCGCTGGGATCAGCACCCACCCAGACCGCCATGACGGAAACGGCAGATCCTTAGGCCCGCACCGATGCAGACGACAATGGTGCATTATATGTGTGTGTATATGTATATATATATATATATATATATATATATATATATATACATATATGATATATAACAGGGCAATAAAGAACGTTCTAACAACAACAACAACGCGCGACGCTGCAGAGGCCGGTTGCACTATCTCTCCACGGGGCGCGGCGCCGCCGGGGCTGAGATGCGCTCTAATAGCAAACCGAAACTTAAAAACCCGTCGATTTTGTGCGGTTTTTCAGAAAGTCGTAAAATGCTTCGCGTGCCTTCTATCGTTCTGCAATTTCTTGATTTGGTGTTTTTGGATGATGCTGAGCATTTTTCTCAGTGAAACCATGCCCTTAAACACAATATTAAAAAGTTAATTATGCAAAAATAAATAACAACTTAATTATCCCCGACTTTAATAATTTCCCTAAATGGGCCCCTCGCCCAGGACCAAAACGCAACAAGCCTTTTTTTTGCGAGGAGTAGTTTTCGCAGGAGCGATTTGGCCTGCGTTTTCTCAAACACTCTGTATATATATATATATATATATATATATATATATATACTTGTTTTCACCAGAAATCTCTGTGCAGCTCAAACTTCGAGCCGATAGGATCAATCGAACAGCGTCAAAAGAACAACTTCGTAACATTCATCTTGGTTCTGCTATTAACCTTTAGGTTAATATAAAGCGAAGGCCAAATAACTTGCGATTTCAGCATGTGTGTTTGTGGTTGTATTTGTACGTGTTTTGACTGCGCGAGTACGTGTGATGGAACTAAATGTAGATTCATTAAAATAATATTATTTTTTCTATATGTAGTATAAGTCACCGGTATTTAAAAAAAACGTTGTTACACATATCGTGTAATTCATTTATATCGTAGATTATTTCCAAAAACTGTAATCTGGCAGTTAAAAAAATTCTGCAAGAAACAGTTTCCGGCAGAATTAATATTATAGTCACATTAATACATGTTTAAGCTGATTTGATTTTCTCCTTACGATCCTAGTGCAGTTCCAATCCAGAAAACTATTGTTACATCCTTCTAAATGATTTAAATCTCTTCATAATGCAACTTGAACGAAAACCTTTCTTGCTTTTTTAAAATTTTTAACGTTTTAGGCAGTGGCCAGCCTGACTGATATACGACAAAAAAGAGGCCAGGTGGATGGCACATAACACATTCTATGCACTCAATGACCGGACATGCGTGCCTTGTTGTGCAACATTGCTGATTACCGTAGAAAGGCGTCAGCCTACTAAGGCGAAAGTCAGTGTAAAAAAGGCTCGAGGTATACCTAAACATTTATGAGTTGTAAATGCGAAAGCACGTAATTGCTTTCGTAATTTTATTACAAATTCAAAATGCAAAAGCACGTACGTGCTTTCGTAAGCACGGGTAGCTGGGAGCAGGGCCACATGGCTCACGCTTCCCGCACCCACCACCCTCCCTCTTAACCTTCCCGACGCCCCCGTCGAGCTTCAGGAGGCGAAGTCGAGCCAGTAAGCGTTTTGTTTAAAGTCGAAAGCCTGACTTGTCTGTTTGTCTTCAATGTAAATCTCTCCTTATTTTAAATAAGAAACGAAGACGCTCAACCATATGCATTCTTCCGCTCCCGTTTTTCGTCTGTAGCGTTTTTGCGTCGACGGCAGGGCCCGCCCTCTTCTCGCCGCTCTGACCTTGGACGTTTCGTGTTAGCGGGGTGCAGACGGACACGCAGCGCCAAGGGGTGGCGGTGGCTGAAACTCACACGCAGCGGCCAATGGGAGCCTCGTCGGCGCTCGCCAGCCAATGGGTTTTACACCGCTCCTTTGGTATCCTTTGGTATCGTGGAAACTAGGTGCCGTTTGGCTAGGCATTTCACGTGGCTTCATAGCTGGGAGCTGGCCTCACTTGGAAAAAAGAAATAAGGTGCCGTTTGGCGTGGCTTCAAAGCTGATGGTGTCGGCTCGTTCCATGACACCAAGAATGATTTTGTATCTTAATAAACCGACACCTTCCTCCGGCAATCTGGAAGGCCGTGCAAAAAAGAACACCGATCCTTCCACTAAGTGCAGGAACGGTGTTAAGTATGCGACATACCTTTGGCACGCGGATTTTTCCACATTAGGCACATTAGGCAGTCTAACAGCGGCGAGAACGATAGAATTTCAGAACGCAAGCGGGCGGTTTTATCGAAGTTCGCATAATTCAGAGACCGTTAAGTGTTTAGCAGGAGTGCCAACAATTGCTCTGCTGAATGTAACTGCATCATGAATGTAAGCGGAGAATCAGATTTATTTATTTATTTATTTCAAAATACTGCGACCTCGATGAGGTCATCGCAGGAGTGGAGAGAAAACATACATATACATTCAAAAAGACAATCGATTAAAGATGTACACACCCTACAAACAAAACTTAGAAAACCTTGAAAAATGCAATATCAAAAGATTACAAAAACAATCACATACACTTCAAGTACAGATTCCAGGCACCATACCAGAACACCTACTGTATTTCTAACACAAACTTATCAAAATCGAGACAACGAATGGATCCATTTATGTTATTCCAGTTTTCTATCGTTCTAGGAAAAAAAGAATATTTAAAACAGTTAAGGTGGGCTCTGTATGGTACAAGATTTAATGGATGGAAGCTTCTAGTGCGTGATTCAGTAACAAAACTAACATATTTTTCTCGATTAAGTGTACAGTTATTATTCACTATTTTATGCAGGAGCTTGAGCCGTTCTACAGCGCGTCTAGAATCAAGAGGCGTAAGTCCTATGTCAGTCATGGCAGTCATGGGATCCGTTGGAACGTGTCGCAAAAGAGTTGATTCGTATCCCCTCTGCAAAAACTGTGTTGGTATTTACTTCGTTGTCTCATACAAACAAGTCAGGACTTTTTCAGGTATAAATCTATTTTGTATGTGTGTGTTTATGCTGTGCTGCGACGAGAAAGATTGCGGGTGAGGGGGGAGGGAGCTTAGTGTACTATCAAGTTGACTTTTTGGGTTCCGGGAATTCTCCCTGTGGTTGTTTGTGGCGGAAAAGGATTTTACTGTTTATCTTTAAGAGTGTTGCAAAGATGACAATGTAAATAAATATCCGTCGACAACTGAGGTGTTCTGCCTTCATAAATGGGATCAGTCTTCGATAAAGTCTTATCTGTGTTTTAGTACGGTGTGTGTAGTCCCTCACATTTATGTGTATTCCTTTTTTGCTTCCCTGTCCCAGGTTATGTTTTCAGAAAGAAATCACTGTTTTGGTAATTTACAATTACAAAATAATTTAATTTAACTATTTAGAAGTCTGGAATGCGTCCTGTTTGCTTGGTGCGTGCGACGTGCTTGTGCGTTCGGTTGCATGGGTGGACGCAATTCGAAAACCAAGCACTATTTTATATTCCGCACTAACTTTAGTGCTAAATCGTGTCATTAAAATGAAATTTGTCATTCTTAAGTATTTATTACACTGCACGCAGATCATATTTTTGTGTGAGTTAATCAGTTGCATGAAGCATTGCGCAGCGAACACAAATATTTTAGTTGGCACAAAGGGTTCAAACAGCCAACCTACGCCACTATTGCTCAAATTAGATTTTGGCACCCACCTTGAGGATTTTTTGGGTTCTTTATTACCATACACGACCTCATATTGGAAAATAATATCTCGCGTGTAGCCGTTGGTGGATATGATGGTTCTGTTCAAAAGTGGATGAAATAGGGTCAGAAACATATACTCATCCAAGCATTTTAGAAAAAAATAACATTATTGCGAACAACCTGAGTAGCGAGCAACGTGTGATTATTTTATTGTAGGGATTGCTCCGGCATTTTAAGCATTGCACTTAATACTAACCGGAGACGACGGACCATAAGAAAAAAAAATCACCCACGTCTCAAATGCAGCGTCTCCGGTTAATAGCATACCTAATCTTAACCAGCTTAACTGTCTATTATACTTGTCTTTTGTTGGAAGCGTACCGGCAGTCTGGTAATTTGTATATTGAAGCGCACCTATACTTTCGACGTTTCGGACAAAACGTTATACTACATAGTAGATTAAAGTGATATTTATGACACAAATATTATATAACCTATCCTGGCAAGGTGGAAGCCGGGACGTGGAATTCTGGCCTATAGTCATAAAACATACAGGGTTTTACAAAAAGGCACTTGTTAAAAAAAAAAAAAAAGATTAGTTCAATCTAAAAATTTGTAAAGTTTCATTTTGGGGTTTATTTTATTTAATTTATTTATATATTCACCCCACCCCGAGGTCACGTGACCACCCTGACGTCACATGACCCTCGAGGTCACGTGACGCCACCCCCTACAGGTCACGTGACACCCCAGGTCACGCGACACCCCAAGGTCACGTGACCCCCTACCCCCCCCCCCCCGAGATCACCTGACCCCCTTGAGGGGAGGAGAAAGGAGGGGAGCAGGGAGGATGAATGAAAGCCGTTTACAATTCCTTGTAACGCCGGATCAGAGCGTAGCTCTTGAGGAGGGGGATGGGAGTTTACTGAGGGAATAGTGACTCCTTGAGGTCACGTGGCATCAGGGGGGTCGTCTTGCGTCAAGGGGTCACGTCACATGAGGAGGGTCACGTGACCTCTGGTGGAGTCACGTGAGTTCGGGGGAGTCGGTAACCTCAGGGTGGGGTCACGTGACCTCGGGGGTCACGTGACCTGAGGGAGATCACGTGACCTCAGGGGGCTACGTGACCTCGGGGTGGGGTCGCGTGACCTCAGGGGGGTCACGTCACTTCAGGGGGGGGGGGGGGGTCTGTGATATTGGAGTCACGTGACCTCGTGGGGAAGTCACGTGACTTTCGGGGGTCATGTGACCTCACGGTTGCGCCGACGGCGACGGCGACGCCGACTCCGACGGCGACGCCGGTCAAGCCGGAAATGAGCCCCTAACAACTGCGGTCTAAAGCACAAAAACACTTACCAATGCTTTGACAAGTAGAACGAACAGGAGGAGCAACCACCAGCAAAGTTGCTTAAATCACGATTGAATTCCAAATTGAATGATCGCTCCTAAATATCAGCGATTAACCCTAACTCTGTGTCGACATAGCTATAAAAACTACGCAATTTCCTACAAACTCAGTGAATAAGTAAAACGAAGTGAACGCATAAGGAACTCTATACATCTTGTTAAAAAATACTGCCAACGATATTTGTTTTGTGGCTCTTTACTAGATTTTTAAGGTGAGGTTTTATAGGAAATACTTTAACTTACCTGGAAAGGTTCCCATATAAATTATGTAGTTGTTCACATTTTTCACATAGTACGGTTGATGAAAGCTGCAAATTAAACATGTTAAAACTCCAACTTGTTTGTGACATACGAATGACACAGTTTTTTATGTTATAAATGCATTTAGTACTCACGTGTCACCGTCCGTGTACCGGAGAAAGAAATCATACATTCTGAAATTTTCCCCTCCCTTTGTCGAAGTGTAGAAAACTTGAAAACCACAAATTATATTAGTAAAATTTCCAAGTGACTGAAGCATGTACGTTTGAGGCAGTTTCTGCATAACCTGGAAAAGTGTTTAAGTGTTTTGTAGAAAATGTGAAATAACGTCGATAGACGAATCTGAAGAAACTCAAAAATGAAATTGCTTTTTTTTTAACTGTTCGCCTCGAGATTGAACCGTGTAACCATCATGCGGCCCATAGAAGCAGATGAAGGCGGGGATACCGCCGTGCGTCGTCTGCTACGGGTGCCCTTTCAGAAACATGGATCTCGACGAGGCAAGCACGTTTCCGTCTGAGTTGAGCCCTACTCATTAAACGCTTGTTGTTTTTATTGCCGCTTCTTTCTACTGAAGGTTGTTTTGTATCATTTCAGATGCCTGAAAATTCAGCAAAGCGATGAATATTAAGACGGAAGCTTCCATAATCGCAGTGATGTGGTTAGTATACAACCGCTCGTCCCACATTTGTTTGTGATCTCGCACACACTATCGCTTTTATAAAACACTCGATGTTGATTGGAGCTGTAGTTTGACTAAAAAGTTGACCCGTTCGATCGCTACCTTTAATAGACTAATCAAAAAATAAATCCGTTAGTTGATTTTTGGCCGGTTATATTGCATGAAAGACGTTTAAAATACATATTTTTACTATTTTTACTATGCCATAAATGGAATATTGCATTCCCATTTTAAACGTCAATTTGTGACGCCTGCAGAAACATCAACAAGAAAAGCAATTTTAAAAAAAAGTAATTTTTAAAGTATATTTTAAACAGTATAATCACCCTCGATGTCAATCACGAGCACGTTGAAGTGGTTTACATGTGTACTAAACAAAATAAACACGTCAAAATATTAAAGCCTGCATTTTTTTCTTATTTTTTCCTTACCTTCTCCAGCGCAAAATTTCGATTAAATGGCAAAAAAAAAAAAGCATCGCAATTAAAGCATCACTTGAATAATCGAGCATTAATTGAGCAACTGCACACACCCGATATGCGTTAAGTGAGAGCGGAGGGAGATCGGAAAGTATCGCGAGAGTTGCTAGCCCTCATTATTTAAAGAGTGTCGCTGCGGCAGGTGCTGTGTCGTGGTGCGGCTCGTTTGTTGAAGTTGCACACTCTAATGTGTTTGAGTAGCAGATTATTTAACCAGAAATATATAATATTAGCCTCTTGGCATCTGCGGCCTTCACCGAGCAAATTGAAGCGTGTGAACTCCCATTACCGAGAAAAGCATCTAACAACATGAACTCTACTGCGTTGCTCGGTTACACCCGTTTGTTCCACTCGCGGCAGATATATCTGAAGGGTTTGTATCACTTGATTGAGTTTTCCTGCCAACGAAGTTTCCAGATCGTAACTAGGGGAGGCACATTGTCCTCATCGCAACGTAGTTGATTTTTTCTGACTCCAAAAAAAATCACCACACCATGGCAAATTAAAAAGAAAATTTGGATGCCGCTGGACTCTATAGCGCGGTGTTTTCTAATCCAGCCATAACGTTTTCTTCATGCTAAATATTTATATAACTGTAAAAGAAAAAAAATATAGAGCCTGCAATATCATAGCCCACAGTACACGTATTATATTATCCGGGTTAGAATTCATTCTTTTATTCAATTCCTACGATCATGAACAGATGCATCTCTTTTAAAAGAGGCAAATATTTAATATAAATATTGCAGTTCAGCCGGAGACAAGCATCCGTCGTGGTGATCCACGCTTCCTAACGCCGGCCTAGAGCAGACGCCGCATCCACACCAGTGATTACTTAAAGATAGGCAATACGCTGACAACCTGATTTGATCACTGAAGCACCGAACGGTAACCGCATCATTTTCAGTTAAAGTTGCCTTCCAACCGATATTAGCCGAAAAAATAAACGCAGGAATCTACTCCGTCTCTCGGCCGAACGTGGAGAGCCTATGGGGCGGCGATGCTTTTATCCCCGCTTTGATGATGATGATAGCGGGACAGTAGCGTCACTTTTAGGCCGATTTCAAGGTTAATAAAATCAGTAGAAAAACGAAACCTAAAAAAAAAAGACGTACCGCAGCATTCCTTTTTTTTTTTTTTTAAAGCGAAAGCATTAAGGAGCTCATGTCGCAGAATAGCCGACATGAGCGTCGGTGTTGGTGGGACGGGAAGATCCTTGATAATGCAGTTAAATAAAATGGTCCAAACAGGCTGGACAATCATGACAAAAATAATCCCTGGAGAAGAGGAACAAGGAGGACAAAGGAGAAACACAAATGTCCAAACATAGCTGGGTGACTTGTGCGCGACCGAAAAAATGCGCCTTGTCGTGGTATCAAACCTTGACATTTAATTGCCATATCAATCATAACCTTAAAAATGCCGTCCGTTCACCCTTGTTAATGTTAGACTGGTGGCGGCTAATAAAATCCGTTTGCTACACAGTCGGTAGAGCCCTCCACTCAAAATGAAGAGGTGCCTTTTTCGGTACCAGGACCAAGCGCATTGTTTTTTAGGACGCGCACCAGTCACCTAGCTGTCTCTGGAGATTTGTGTTTGTCCTTTATCCCCTTTGTTCCCCTTCTCTCTGGATACCCAAATGGTTTCTTAAACAACGTGTGTGAAAACATCTACACAAAACTGAAGCGCAAAGCCTCGGGCACAGGTGGAACGCGGAAGAAAAAAGCTAAACAAAAGATCGCAATAGTACCTACATCTATGCAATAACACACAAATTAAAAAAGCTAGCTGAGCCACAGGATATCAAGGTTGTGTGCTCTGCACCAAACAAAGCATATTCAATCTCGCGTAAGGTAAATAGAACACGAACTACGTACAACCTCCAATATCTCTCACAGGACACGATATGGCCCATGTGAGAAGGGGATTGTATATTATATTTCCCCTAATCGTGTGAAAAGTGTTACATTGGCCAAACTGGCTGATGTATTAATGACAGGACAGGACAACCCGCAGCATCTCTAAAAGGTCATCTACCAACCCATTGCCGCAACTGTGAATGCAGTGCAGAGTCCATCAGCGTCACCATCATCGCAAAACGCAAAAACCAGTCTGCACGAGATATGCCCAGGGCCATGGCCGTAAAAGAAAACGAAGCAGCGTGTGTCAACGAGCCTTCCAATCAAGCTCAATACCAAATATATATATATATATTGAAGCGGGTTCCGCTTGCCAGCTGTTTATTAACCGGACAAGACGTCCGGTTTCTTTGCTGGCTTGCTTTGAACTCCTTGCCCGAGCGCTCGCATCGCGCGACCTCCGGCCTCGTTCTTCTTTTCATCGCTACATTATCCCCCTCCCATTTTTTTCCTCTCCTTGTAGTGAGAATTAACGAAGTCCTTCGAACGGTGATAGCCGGTCACGGTGAACCACGAGCAGACGTCATCGATCATTGAGACGTATGCGATATACCACGTCGTTGAGCCGTTCGACGATCGTAAAGGGTCCTTGCTGATGGCGCTGAAGCTTCGGAGACAGTCCTCTTTTACGGATGGGGTTGCACAGCCATACCTTATCACTTGCTGAGAACGGGCGTGTTGCGACATGTGCGTCGTACTGAGTTTTCATACAAGCGAGCCCACTTGCCAAACGTTGTCGGGCAAATGCATGCCTCCGTTCTAGGTTCGCTCTCAGGTCGCTTACGTGAGACACTTGGTCTTTGGCCGGTTCTGATGCTTGTGGGATGGCAATTTCACAGGGCATACGAAGATCACGGCCAAATAGCATCGTGGCGGGCGTGTAGCGGGTGACCTCGTGAGCAGCTGTGCGGTATGCGTACAGAAACAGAGGCACGATGTTATCCCAGTCGTCTTGGCGGTCATTTACAAACATCGATAGATGTTGTAAAATGGTGCGGTTCATCCTCTCCACCAGGCCGTTCGACTGCGGGTGGAGGGTGTCGTTCTCGTCTTTGTGATATTGAAGATCTCGCAAACCTCTTGGAAGACTCGCTATTCAAAGCTCCTTCCTTGGTCTGAGTGGATGCTCAGTGGGGCTCTGTACCTGGTAATCCAATTCTTTACGAGAGCGTCAGCGATCACGGAGGCGGTTTGACTTTGAATGGGAATAACTTCGGGCCACTTGGAGAAATAGTCTACAATTACGAGCAGGAACCTGTTTCCAGACTTAGACCGAGGAAACGGCCCCAGTACGTCGATGCCGATACGCTCAAAGGGTGCCCCCGTCACATTTTCTTGTAGTGGTGACCGTTGTTTTACGTGGGGTCTTTTACGCGATGCACACATGTCGCACTGACGGCACCACTGCTTTACGTCATTGTGGCATTGCAGCCAGTAGAACCGTTGACGAATCTTTTTGATCGTGCGGTTCACACCAAAGTGTCCTTCTGGGCTAGTGTGCAGTTATTAAAATACCTGGGAGCAAAGCTTGCGTGGCAACAGCAGCTGCCAGACGACAGAACCGCCAGCAGCTGACTCCCAGCGTCGGTAGAGAAGGTTGTCGTGCAGAAACAGAGTCCCATTGAACCAAGTAACTCTTGATGGCAGGAGACAAACCGGACACTTCTTTAGAACGAGGTGTGTAGTTATTCTTCTTCCATTGGACCAGGGGTCCGATATCTGGATCGTCAAGCTGAGCGACACGAAGGTTTTCCAATGTCCACGCTTCGTTAGTGCAAGGCAGGTTCTGCAGTGAGTTGATTGACATGAAGCTCCGTTTTGCAATGCTTAAACACTGTTTGCACTTGTCATTGCACGGTCGTCGTGAAAGACTGTCGGCATTTGTGTGAAGCGCGCCAGCACAATATCGAATCTCGAAGTCGTATTGGTGAAGACGCTCCAGCCATCGGGCGACCTGTCCGTCAGGGTCTTGAAGTTTAGCATCCAGGTTAATGATGCGTGGTCGGTACGAATGATAAATTTCCGGCCCAATAACTAATGATGAAAATGAGTTACGGCCTTGGTGACACCCAACAGTTCGCGTCGGGTGGTACAGTAGTTTCTCTCAGGCTTGGTGAACACTTTGCTATAACAAGCGATGACTCGTTCATGCCCATCCTGTTCTTGCGATAAGACTGCGCCAACTGCCAAAGCACTAGCATCGGTG